CTGTCAGTGTTTAAGAGGCATTTGGACAATGCCCTTAACATGCTTTAACTTTTGGTCGGCCCTGAACTGTTCAAGATGTTGGACTAGATTATAATTGTAGGTCCCTTCCAACTGAAATATTCTATTCTATTCTATTCTATTCTATTCTATTCTATTCTATTCTATTCTATTCTATTCTATTCTATTCTATTCTATTCTATTCTATTCTATTCTATTCTATTCTATTCTATTCTATTCTATTCTATTCTATTCTATTCTATTCTATTCTATTCTATTCTATTCTATTCTATTCTATTCTATTCTATTCTATTCTATTCTATTCTGCTCTACTCTAGTCACAACCCTTTGAAACTGGAGTTTCCTCCCTGGATTGAACTTCTGTAGCACTTTTTTCCCCACTAGATCCTCAAAAGAACAAGAAGCACCTGCAGCAATCCCTGATGCCTGCCTCCCTGTGTCTGGGCATGGCCAAAAGGGTGGTGTTAAGCAGCAGGTTATGCCTGAACCACTATCACCAGCAAGAGGGTGGCCAGGAAGCCTGTAAGTACTCCCTTGTCCATATAGAGGCAGGCTCCTTATAGCCAACTCCTGCCCTATCAAGAAGCCTGAGCCCTCGTCCCAACTGACAGACGAACCCTTGGAGCTGCACACCCTGCATCTGCTTCTTCACCTGCAGAACAGGGAACAGCAGCGTGAGAAACTGCCTGGACACCAGCAAGGGTCTCGACCTCCTCTGCTGCCCTCTTTTCATGCAAGGACCTTGCCCCTGGGGCGCATGCCTAGGAAGCACAGATAGCTTCTCCCATCTCATTCTCAATCAAAATGTGAATAAAATCAGAAGCCCATCCTATTGAATCTGCCAAAAGTGCTGTAAAAAAAAAATCTGCAGATGCAGTGGTGACAAAATCCCAAGCCCATCTAGCTGTGTTTGCAGGACGTGCTCTATGCTCCTTCCAGAAAAGCAAGGGTGCACCCAAGAAGACATGCAAGAAAGCATCAGCACGGTCTGTAGCGCATCAGTCCTGCCCTCTGCCTGGACCTGCTGTCGATGACAGACAGATGGTGACTCATGCGTTCGGTCCAAGAGGGCAGAGCACTGCTCAAAGCTGTTGGCATGAGATTCTCCTCACCTGGCTGCTTGACGGTGAGGGTGATAAGTCCGGAGTGGTCCTCTGCCCGCTTGTACCAGCGGTCGCTGGGGTCGAGGAGCCACTCCTCCACGTGGCAGTCATAGGCCCCGCTGTCCCGCACGGTGGCGTTTTGGATGGAGAGGAGGTAGAGTCCTGGGGACGGGCTCTCCAGGTGCAGCCGGCTCCGCAGGTCGCCCAGCGCTGCCAGGTCCCCGTAGCGGAGGGTGCTCTGCCGGCTCAGCCGGGCCACCGCCTCCTTCTCCAGGTGTCCCGGTCGCCAGACATACCACTCCACTGAGAGCTGGGATGAGGGGCTGGTTCGGCTGCTGACCAGGCACTCCAGGGTCACCCACTGGTTCTCCAGCACCGTGATGTTCTTGTGGGTCTGGTTCACCTGCAGGCGGTTATCTGTGGGAAAAGGCCATTAGAAATGCAAGGTGACAGAGGGCTGCAAGGGTCCTTTGTCTCCCCACAAGCCCTTCCCGCATGGCCACAATCCTGGGGTGTGATGAAAGAAATGAGGAAAGGAAGGGAAAAAAACTAGGGGGGGGGGGAAGAGGAGCAAGGGTCCTTTGTCTCCCCACAAGCCCTTCCCGCATGGCCACAATCCTGGGGTGTGATGAAAGAAATGAGGAAAGGAAGGGAAAAGAGGGGGGGGGGGGGGGGAAGAGGAGGAAAAGAAAATAGGACCTGTGTTTTTTAGGGTCTTCTGAAAATCTCAGGCTAGCCACCAACAACGCCCCATTCAGCACAGGGAACTGGAAACCCACAATCTCCCAGTAGGACCTAGGGGGTCCTAAGTGCACAGACACCTTGTGAAGGGAGGTCACACCTCAATCTTTTCTCCTCCTCCTGGGGCAGGGCAGTAGCCTGGTCACACCCCAACCAGTAAGCCCTCCTGCTGTGGGAAAAGGGGAAAAAAGCAAGGCGGAGAACGGATGGCTGATTATAGGGAACCACCACTGCAAAACGGGAAGTGTCATGAGGGCAAAGTCACACACAGTGTTTTGCTGCCTTGGGAATGTCCCTGGTTTTTGCTCCACAATTTCATTAATATGGGGCGGTGACTGCAATCAGCTTTTTGATGTGAAATGACGTGTCGTACACTCCTAACTCCTTTGCGACTTCTTTCCAGGGGCACAGTCTGGACTTCCCTGGTACGGCCGCTGCAGCAAGTGACGGGCACAGTACTTCCCAGAGAGAGGTGGGCGATGCAAAGGAGGGGGCAGATCACAGCTCCCCCCTCCCTGACCGCCCCACAGCCATCTCAGGACCTCGCAGACAGAAACGAGGAGCTGGGACCGGCAGTGAGCGGCACGCTCTAGCCTGCTGCGCTCCCTGCGTGACCAGGCAAAGCTGCACTGAGGACCATACTCGATATCCCTCTCGCACCCTTATCCACAGAGCTTGTGTCTAGCCAGCCAAATCCAGACAGAGAAAACGCATTAAGCATCCTAGTCCAGCCCTGCTAGCCAGGTACGTCCCTCCTGCCTGAGGGATTTTATCCTCCAGAAACAGACACCTGGAGCAAGCGGGGACAAAGCAGGCTTCCTCGTGAAGTACCAGTGCTCTGCCTCAGCAGCACATGGGGTCCAGGCTGCTCTCAGAGATAGTGCTTGCCTCCCTGCCTGCCCCCTTTGCACAAAATGAGGGCTCTGTCCCCAGCTCGTGGGGGATGTCTTTAGCTCCTCCATCAGTCCACTTTTACCAGTCATGTCTGCTGCCACGGAAACCACCAGCAGAGCAGATTTCTCCTTTCCTGGCAGCCAGCTCCCCACCTCATTAAACTCGTTACTCGCATCTCATGTGCACAGCGCAGAGGGAAAAGAGACAAGACTCCCTGTGCCTGCCAGAATACAAGCACAGACTAAAATTAAACTGTGTGCAAAACATAAAAATGCTTTTCCAGGCAGGCAACACACCAGTTCTCTCTCAGTAGGTCGCTAGTCGACACTCTTGCTACATGATGCTCTTGAGAATAAAGAAACCTGGCTGGATACAGTGGCCCTCTAGATCATGGGGGACGAACAACCTTCATGTGGGGACACTGAAATGCATGACAACCCAGCCTAAATGGAGGAGGGTCACATCAAAGGGGTAAAACGTCCCTCTTCATGCAGAGACGTGCAGACATGAGGCTGCAAGGAGGGGGTGACAAGGCTGTAGTGGAAAGAAAAGCAGAGGATCCCTGTTGCCCCAGAAAAGCTCGGCAAGCTCACGAGCGGTGCACAAGAGCCAATGCCAAGAGGACCCCACCGGCGCAGCACATGGTACCTGGCTGCTTGACGGTGACCTCCGTCCGCCCCGACACCTCCTCTGCCAGCTTGTACCAGGCGTGGTTGGGGCTGAGCAGCCACTCCTCCACGTGGCAGTAGTAGCTGCCGCTGTCTCGGACCTCCGCCCGCTGCACTGTCAGGCTGAAGAGCCCCCCCGACGCCGAGCGCTCGAACTGCAGCCGGCCCCGCAGCCCCTCCTCCTCCGCATAGGTGCCGTACTCAAAGGCCGAGCTGTGGGTGGTCTTCAGGATGAGCTTGCCATCAGCGTCAGAGGGCTTGTGGACGTACCACAGCACGGCGAAGTGCGAGTCGGGGCTGGTCTGGGATTTCACTGAGCAGTTGAGAGGGATGGGCCGGTTCTCCACCAGAGTGATGCTCCGCTTCGACTTGCTCACCTGCAGCTTGGTCACTGTGAGGGAGGAACGGAGAAGGATGAGGAGAAGTGGGTCATTAACACAGAAAAGAAACTCACCTGCTTTGGGTAGGACCAGAGAGCCCTCCCCCAACTGCAGGCATGGCTGCTCTTGCCTGGGTCCCACTTGCACTGGCCCTTTAAGACAAAGATGTTTAGATGTCCTCCTACCAAATCTTCTCTCTTCTTTCAGCCCCCGCTCTACTCCTGGATCCTCCCACTGTGTCCCTCAGATAGAGGCTGCTTTTTCACAGTTTGTCCTTTAAAAGATTCCCTTTCTAATTCACCGTGGTCTAAGGCACCAAACCTAGCAAGAAGACTACACCCAAACTCAGTGGTTTTTTTCATGGTGAAATCATACGACTTGCACCTCAGGGCAATGAGCTGTTGACCAGTTCCAGAGGAAACCATTTCCAGGAAAAGTGAATTAAACGAGACTACTGCTGTCACATGTCACTACTGAGCCATCTCAGTGACACATAACCCACAGACACGCAATAGCTAGGGGAGCAAACACAGGCACAACTGAAAAAACAGAAAGAGCACCAGACTGGAAAGGATCAGCAGGGAGCAAGCTCTGCTCCAGCAGCCAGATCTGGCTCCAGGTCCACCATGGACCGCACAGCCCGGGACAAGCCACAGGCATGTCACCTCCCTCGGCTTCCCAAGTGCAACTGCAGTTCCCACGTGGGTAGTTAAGTGGTCACACAGCGTCAAGGATGACACGGTGGTGTCATTAGTTCTTGTCCCTGCAAGGAGAGAGACACACCAGTTTCCAATTCCTCTCTCCCTGAAGGAGCAGGAGATAAAGCCTCCACTGCATGTGCTCAGGCTCTGCCTGTCACCCGAGCCTTGACCCAGGGCATTTCTGTCTGCAGGGGAGGACACGAAGGGCCCTCCTGTGACACTTGTGCTTGGCATGCCCTGGAGCCCTGCTGGCTACAGACCCAAGGAGAGGAGCAGCTCCCAGCCAGACACACCACTCCTCCCAGCAGCTCTGCCACCATCTCCCCTCCTTCGCCTCTCCTGCACGACCAGCACCTCCTCTCCAACGCGAGGACACAGGATGCCCAGATCTGACAGCCCAAAGGGATGAGCCCTAGGCTGAGTGTGAAGCACAACACATTACCCAGGACATCGGAGCATAGTCAGGAAAAGGCGGGGGAGGTTCCCAGGAATGGGGACAGCATGCGAGGGGGTTCAGCAGGCAGCAGGTCCCCTCAGCACCCCTCCAAGCAGAGCCCCTTCCCGGTGCACCCTGCGATGGCCAGCACCGCTGCTCAGGCATGGCTTATAAAGGGTGTCCTGACAACCGGTGGGTCTTCAACGGCCGAGGGGCAGAAGGTGGGGTACCCCCAGTCCTGCTCCAACCCAGCCCATCCCAACCTCTCCCGCTGCCTCGCATGGCAGCTCTCCTCTGAAAGGGGACATGCTGCCTCGCTGCTGCGTGAAGGGATTCTGCTGACACCCAGTAAATCTCTTAACGAAAGAAACCTAGCGAGCGCCCCGAGCACGAGTGGCATGACAGAAGTGTGGCACCACAGGCACGAACAACTGAAAGCTGCCAGGGGAGCTGTGCCCATCCACACCCTGGAAACCCGTCCCACGCATCCTGTGTTTGCGAGGAAGCAATGTTGTCTCCTCTCTCTCACCAAGGCACGGGCTCTTCGCTTTGCATCATGCTTTGCTTCCAGCTTCCCTTGGGCCCCAGGGTCTCAGATGCCTGTCAGCGCAAGTGATGAGTGATGGGGCCAAGGGTACAGGCAAACAACATCAAATGGGAGGGAGGAACTCCCACCACAGCGACACTTTCTGCTCTAACACAGCATCTGAGATAGGCATCCTGGTAATGCATTAGATGTTCCCCTGGAGCCTGGATTGCCCGTGGCTTTAATCAGTATGCTAATAAAGACTCGATAGCTGTGTTACGGGTATGGCACGCAGACAGTGGAGGAAGGGAAGGAGGGAAATAGTCCCTTGATTTTCCTCCCTGGGGACTTCAACCTAATGGAGAGATTTAGCATCACCCTGTTGTATTTCTGCCGTACCCCAGACACACTCCTTTCCCTTTGTTTCACTTCAGGACGGCAGCCTTAGCCACCCCACCCACACTCATCCCACCGTTTTGGCTCACTGTTGGTTAAGAAAGGTTATTTCAAGCATTAGTCAATCTTCCGAGTCCCTGGGAAATGAACCAGTGAAGGGGAAGGTGATTCTCAGCAGTTTCCTTTCTCCCCCAGCCCCCTTTCCAAACAGTTTATTTTTAATTGGTACTGGATTATTTTCTGCAACCGTTACTAAGGAAACCTCTGTTACTATAGCAACTATGTATGTTAAGTCAGTAGCCCTATATCTATTAAAATGCAGTATATACACATGCTGCGTGTGGCGGGTTGCTCAATATCAACACATACACACACAGAGCGAGCCAGGGTATGCACAGACCAGAGCTGCTGAGATGAAGCATCCCTCCCAGTGCTCTTCCCACATCGCAGCACCTCAGGAGATGAAAATGAGGAGGATGTGCACGGAGTATTTCTAAGCCTGGTGTTTGGGGCAACCAACCTGCACCTCGCACGTGACAGATGTATTTCACTGAAGCAGTGAGGGCTTGTTCCTGGACCATAATCACAGCAATTCTCACTGTGTACAAACAGCATGGGCCCCTGAGGTCATCCAAGGGCTCTTGGATGGCCTCCGTGCAGCTCTTCCTGCTTCCATTTGACACTTGGGAAGATGTCTTCTTTTGTGGGGGTGAGGGTGATGGGGAAGAAATCTTATTAACTCCAGCAAAAATAAGATCTTAAATTCCACATGCACACCCCAGCCCTCCAAGCCCTCTCTGGCAGCCGCTGCAGCCAGCATTCAGGAATTTGCCCACGTGTGCACAGAGTCCCCCAAATCTTAATGAGATGATCGCTTCTACTGCTGACACCAGTGGGAGCAGCAGGCCCTGGCAGGGAATTACAGGTCTTCCCTTTGATAGACTGCACATGCTCACACAGGTTTGTAACACCATGTGCGGTTTCATCTAGATTAGAGGTATCGGTGATATATAATGACACCCCTGCCAATGCACTTCTCATCTAAAATGACTTATTTTCCTAACGGAGACACACCACGGAAGATGAAAGTGCAGGTTTTGTTTCCCTCCCACAGAATTAGAGAGGACAGTCTCAGTCTTTTTCCAATCTCTGAACACCAAATGCTTCCCTGTCCAGGCACTGGCTCCTGCATAGTAAATGCGCACCTACCTTTTCTTCATTACCTTTTTCAGATCCTATAGAAATAATTCACAGCTTTTACAGACCACAGGCTGAAAACTGCTGAGTTGGAAACACTGTGGCACACAGGTTACCTTGGGGCAGCTTCACCTTTGGGCTGCAGGCTGGTTTGCTTGCTTATGCAGGGCAGAGATCCTCTGCCCGCACTCTGGTTAAGACACGGGAAGCTTTGTGGGGCTGCTTGCACTTCTGCTCTCCCACAGGAAGAGAGGAGGGAGAACCACCAGCCACCATTCACAGATACGCAAACTAATCCAAAAGGGTCATCTTGCACTCAGGAACAACGATTTAAAACAAACAAAAAATCCTGAAGTTAGGGGTCCAGGGTGATGGTGATGGTAATAGTACAGTACAACGCCAGGGAGTCCATCTCTTTCCATCCTGGTGGTAAGTCTACTCCAGTGCAAACCGGGTCTCGCTATGCCCCGTGCAGCTTGCCAGGTCATGTTTAAAGATGCCTGCATGACATGGAAATGATTGTAGCTGCTTGTGCATGAGTGAGATTGCAAGAAGACTGACACCCCAGGCACTGAGCCAGCCAAACCTCGCCCTCCTGACATGGGGGAAACTCCCTTTCCTGGCTTGGGGATTTGCCTGGGCAGAGAGCCAGGAAAGGGCTCGGCTTTCAAATGCTGAATTGATCCAGTCTGCCCCAGGGGCTGGGGTTTCGGTGCTCCAGCCCTCTGTCAAGCAGCGGAGGCGGTGGGCGCAGCGATGTGAACAGGCATGGTTACATGGCATTTTCTGCTGTGCTGTCAAGAGGCTGATGTTCTCTTAACAGCCTCCCGAACATCTGCTTAGTGAGGGAAACAGGTGCATGTGTCTAGGTGAAGTTATCATGCACATCATCTGCAAACCATAATCCTGTTGCCACAATGTCTCCTGGTTCCCTGGAGGGTGCCAGTAAAGAGGATATCATACCTTGATGTACTGTAATTGGCCCTACATACACTATTAAGGCTTTCAATTTACACTGGCAACAAGTCATGGTTACAACCCTCATATTTTTTTTAAGCTAACCTGGTCTCCCAGCCCCTGTGAAGCCATGCAACCTGTGTGAAGAATGTGTGCAGGCATTGAACTCTGCAGTGGTGCTCGGGCAGGGGCCCTGCAGGCAGCGCCGGGACAGAAGACATCAGCTCTCCGATGGCATGGAGACACGCTCTCCCGCACTGCTGAGGGCATCCCGCCGCATCTACTGGAGGAGCTCTGGGAGGTTCAACGCCTGATGCTGCACACTGAAGCCCGGCCAGGACATGGGGGACATAACATGCCTCTTAGGGTGGAGAGGCTGGGAAAGACGCCAGGTGTCCACAGCAAGTCCATACACTTGCTAAGCTCCTCACTTCACAGACCGTCCTCCAGCATCACAGTCCCTTTGCACTAAATCCCAGGCTGAGGAAAACGTCCCCACTCATTTGCATGGACACACATTGTCTCAGGATACCTGCGGCAGCCTCTGGTCCTCAAAGCTTGCACCTCTGGGCTGGGGGACCAGGTCAGACACACCTTACAACCACAGCAGGATACGACATGACTAGGTGCTCTCCAAGCTTATGTATATGGTAGGGGTTTTCTACCCACCATCAGGCAGGCAACTGGTCTCCTCAAGCTGGGTATGTAGTAAGCACAGTTATACAAATATTTCGGGGGAAGGGAAAGCAGTCATCAGAGGAGGAGGACAGAGGCAGTGATGTGATTCACAGCTTTTCT